TTTTATTCCTGTACCTTAAAATTTTTATTGTTTAGTATGTCACATATATAAGAAAGATAACAAAAAGGTTAAAAAAATCAAATAATAAACTTTAAAAAATAAAAAAATAATAATTAATTTATAAAAAAGACAAAAGTTATTCTCCATTGTTAGGAAAACCGTTTCTTAATTTCACTGCTTTCCTTCTCCGCTTAGCAGATTCAAATATAAAAGGCTATCTCCACTTGTTTTCTCCCACTGCCTTCCTAATCTTCATTGCCGCCTCACATATTTTCCTATGCAACTGATGAGATTCACCTTCAAATGGCTTCACCAGTGGTTCGGCCCCCTTTTCCATTTCCCAACATACTTTTCAGCCTTTGATTTTATATACTACTACAATTTAGTACCACTTATCATCTAAACTTGAATTATTTTCTGCAGATTGCATCATGTTGGTAAAATCCACTACATATTCTGGTATCTGTATTCTGCCTCTCAAACCTTATAATTGAGGAAGCCCAAGTTCTAAACCAGCTGGTATAATTTTTCAATCGCTGTGTTTTTTTTCTTTTTTCTTTCTTTTTTTTTTTTTCACGTTGATTTTTTCTTCTCTTAAAAAGCTTGGTTTTAAAATATGCTTTGCTAACTTCATCTCTTAAAAAGCTTGGTTTTAAAATATGCTTTGCTAACTTCATCACTAAATTATTAAAGCTTAGTATATAGTATATTCATTTTTTTTTTAATTATACTCTTTCTCCTGAGTCTCCTCCAAAATATTAGGTTTTAGAGTGCTTTTCTTTTTTAGTTTTTAATTTTGTTGTATTTTCTTTGAAAATCTTTAAAAAAAACTAGAAAGTACATATTCAAGAATATATTTATGAAATGGAATTCAAATAAATAAATTCTCTTAAGTATTTCATTAAATTGAATTTTCATATTTATTTAACAAATTTTTAGTCTCTTTGCTATAAAGTATAAATTAAAGCAATATTAATTTTATTTCTCTTTTGCAGATTGTATCATTTTTGGTTTTTCTATTCCATATTCTGCAACTTGCATTCTCAACCTTCATCAAAAACACTCGAATTGATCAAGAAACAATAGATCCACGCCCAGAAGGTATAATTTTTTTTACTCCCTATATATTTTCTTCACATTCATACGTGTGTGTATAAAATCTTTCTAAGTTTTTTAAAATTTAGTAACCCCCACTATATATATAAAGTAAAGATCTATTTATATATAATTTTATACACTATATTTACACAATTTTAATCATTTATCTTTTAATGGTAAAAATTTACTCACATTTATTAAAAATAATTATCTTTTTATTTAAAAATTTATAATAAATTTCAACTATTGAAATTAAAGAGATAACTAGTTAAGATTTTATATAAACATAGTATACAAAATTTGTGTTTATATAAGAGAATTCACTTACACAAAAGTTTTATACACTACATTTATACAAAATGTTAATTATTTATTTTTTCACTTTTAATAATTGAGATTTATTATGACTTTTTAAATAATAAAGATAATTACATCTCAACTATTAAAAGTGAAAAGATGAATGATCAAAAATCCACTTATACATAACTCTTACACATATCACTTATATAAAATTTTGACTATTCATTTCTCTATTATGAATAGTTGAGATTTATTTACGTTTTATCTTATTTTTTAAAAAGTTAATTAGTTATTATTTTACTTAAAAAATTGTGATAAATTTCAATTATTCATAATATAAAATGAATGTTTATGATTTTCTATAAAACCCATAAGAAAGTTGTGCGTGTAAAAGAATCTCACCTT